TACACTTAATCTATCTAAATCTCAGATTTATCCTTTCGTGTTATAAATATAACAAGTAGTCAATGAATATTTGTTTGTTTGTGTTTTCTTCCAACTTTAATACTAACTCATTATCCAACTTTTTAAGCCAAGTGCTTAGCTGTTCTGGGCCTTGATTTTTTTTATTTACCTAGAGGCAACAAATTAATGATATCAATAAGAATATTACAGTAAATGTAAAATGGAGCTTTCTATGTCCAAAGCACTTTTTCTTACATTATTCCACATGATCCTCAGTATTTTCCAGAGAATTATCTTTCTTCTACATGCTGTGGAACCACTGTAAAGATGAAAAATAATGATGGAAAATGCTTTGAAATAATATATATGCACATGTATGATCATAAATAAGATTTGGTTATTATTGTGATTGTTTCTCACTATATTTAATGCGTGCCTCTGAGGATAATGGAATAAGTAAGAATAATAGGTTACAAAATAACCAAAGTAGATTTTATTTGAATTAATATACTTTCAAAATTACTTTTTCACCTAGACTCCTTGGTTCATAAATATTAGTGTGTGTTTATAGGGGTGAGTGTGCACTCGACTGAATTCTGGATGAGAAAATATACAAATAGATTTTCTCTAATGGAAACTTGAGGTAAAACATGAATTTTGAATCTGTAGATGCCATGTTTGCAAATATCATGATATGCAGGCTTTTATTTTTCCTCTCCCTTATACAAAAATACCATTAATAATTTTTAGTTCATTGAAAAAACATGGATTAGAAGTGGAAGTTAGTTTCTACCTTGGGCTCCTCAGGGGGTGTGGCAAGTTGTTCTGCATGTATTCAGAGCAATCTCTGAATAAAAAAAATCATTGGGAACCCAGCCAGCAATAGGAAAGATGGTTTCTGAGGCTCACACAGATCTGCCTGAAGTGCTGTTTTGGGTTATTAAGAACATTTCAATGCCCAGGTCATGCTTGGCACTCTGATAGGCATGGCCAAGTATCAACCCTTCCAAGAGAATGGTAGGTTCTTTGATCTGGCATTTCAGCCAAAAGAAAATACATAATGGGAGAGAAAAATTGTGATAGCTGAAAAAGGCATAGACAGCTGGTATTTAAATAGTTTCAGTTATTTTTCAATGAAGGAGACACAATGGTGAGTGGACCATTTGTAAGGTATGGCTACCTAAAAATGTCCCTTACCCTTTAGGCATAGTTAGGTTTCTGGAATGGTAAATTTGGAATGGGTTTTAGGGGAGGAGAATGAGGCCCTAAGAGGGAAGGTCTTTCTGAAGGTGACAAGGGTCTTAAGTAGTAAATATTAGAACTTCTCTGCTACTCATAAAAGGTATTAAAGTGTAGTAGTAAAAAGCATGGGACTAGAGAAAGGTCACTTGGGCTTAAACCTGCTTTCTGCTTCTTAGTAGCTGTGTAACCTTGGGAAAGTCACTTAACCTCTCTCTATGTCTCAGATTCCTAATTTAAACAGCAGTGACAATATTATACTCATTTAATACAGTTGTTCCAAAGATTGAATAATGTACTGTATAAAAGAAGATTATGTAAGTACCCAGGACACGCTAAACACAATGGTAATAAATAATAAAATGGTTATTATTATTAATACCACCAGGACAGAAAACTACTAATGTGATTATACCAAGTATAATGCATCTTTTTGCACTTGTTTGAACAATTTAGAAAAGCTAAATGGAAACCAAATCCTTCATTTGAACAAAAGAGTATAGCCAACTGAGAACACTGTATCCTGAAAAACATTCTTTTACAGCATTGCATTTTTAGTACTGTAAATATTATCTATCAGTTGAAATTGTTATTTAAGTAGCAGTCTATTCAGACTTTTGAAATGAAGATCTGCCTTTAATGAAAAATATCTATTTCATCTTAAGTATAAAACCCAGTGACCCTGGCTTGGATAATCTCCCCAGAAGCTTCCACTGTATGCTGAGCACAGAATAAAGATATAGATTGAAGCAAATTTATTTCAGATATTATAGATTGGAGGCACAGCTATGTGTGGAAGTGGGCCATGAAAAATGCAACCTCAACTCTCCCCTTGAACCCATAGTAATTTATCTCAAAAACATTGTTGAGCTCCCTGAACTGTGAGGAAAGTAACTCCCAGCAGCTTTAAATCTTCTGTAGGGCAGAGCTAGTACTATTCCTTGTGCTCCAGACATAGTGTAGCATGGCTTGGGAATTTGACCATCACCTTTCCTGATTCAAGGGGTGATGATCCAAAATTCCATGTGCCCAGGCTTAGTTCTCCCAGGGGAAAATACTTTGTAAATGAGAGAATAAATAAAAAAATCAGCTGCAATGCCCTCACTGGGTCCAAATGTACCCATAAAGAAAGGGAAACCCCTTACTCACTGACACAGCATTTCAAGCACTTTATTCAATTATATATATAATTATATATATATTATATAACATACAATATATAATATATATAATTTATTTATATATAACTGATATGTATAAATAAATAAATTTTATTTTTATTTGTTGTTGTTGTTGTTGTTGACTTATTCTTGAGATGGCCACAACACCAAAGAGAACAGCACCATAGCTAATTCCTGTGCAGAACTACAACTTCTTTAAAACATTCATATCTGCCTTGGGCTTCCTGCTCCCACCTCATCCCCCTGAAGTCAAATAATTTTCATATTTTTTAGTAAAATACAGTTAGCCTTGTAAACACTTTTTTCCATATTCCCATCCTCTTTTTTCTTTGTGGGTAAAACATTAACATTATATATATACTGTGGGTAAACATTATATATATACTGTAGGTAAACATTATATATATATATATATATATATATATATATATATGTTCTGTGAGTAAACATGATATATATACTGAGCACCTACTTTGTGATAGGCACTGTTCTAGGCACCGACAATAGGAGGTGAGGACAACAAAGTCAATCTGCTCATGAAGATAAATTTCTTTATACCAGGCACTGTATTGAACATATACAGATGAGTAAAGCTCTTCTCTGCAAGGAATTCAGAGTAAAAAAAGAGAGAGAAGAAAGGCAATAAAGTGTGCTAGCTGCTTCAGAGCTACTCATGACCTCTGCAGATAAATGAGGGTTTCCTGGAGAAAATAATCTCCAAGATGACTCCTGAAGGGCATAGAGGAATTAATGAGTGGTTAGTGTAAGCACGGAGAGCATCTTTGCCAAGGATCACAACAATGAGAAGAAACTGCAGTGCCTCAGTGTGCTGCATGGCCAGATGATGACAGATATGGACCAGATGATGAAGGATCTTAGAAACCATGTTACGTAGCTTTATACTTTATCCTAGGACAATTGGTAGCTATCGATTGATGTCAATCAAGGAGTGACATGAGCATATCTCAATTGTAATACAGAGAATAGACTGGAAAAAAGCAAGGCTGGCATTAAGGGCACCATCGGGAGAACTTTGCAGTCCTGAACAGCTGAGGGGGAATGTGGTCAAACAAAGGCAGTGAAAATGGATGGAAAAATTGGGAAGGTTTGAGAAGTATAGAAGTGATTGTCTGGAAGTGGGTGGTAAGGGGGAGGGTGGAATAATAGCTGAGTCCCAGGTTTCTAGCGTGGGAAACTACAGAAGATGAAGTCAGTCACTAGGAAACAGAGGTGGGGGTGCGCAAACTCAGAATGAAGAAGTATGATTAGTTCAGTTTTGAACTTACTGAGTTTGTGGTGTCTGGGGCATTTAAGTGGAGGTATTCAGTAGGCCGTTGAATATGTAGCCTGAAGACCAGGAGAGAGCAATGGACTGAAGTTACCCAGGTAGAATAGTCAAATGCTGGGGCCTGGAAAAGGCTCCACATTGAAGTGGTGAGCACAGAATGAGATGACTGAGCAGGAAAGGACAGAAAGCTAAGAGAAAAGTCAAGGTCTATGAAGTCACAGAAAGTGTGGGAAGATGGGACGATTTTGATAAGGATGAAGTCATCAGTATCAAATACTGATAGAGGTCACCCATAATAGGCACTATAATCTATTTGTCTATTGGATGCAGCAACAGAAAGGTCATTCGCTAGTAGGGTGACCATCTGTCTGGTTTCCTTGGGGCTGTCCCAGTTTATACCTGTTGTTCCAGCATTATTATTATCCGTGTCTCCCTAATGTCCAAATGTCTAATAAATTATTTGATCATCCTCATCATTGGTTGGTAAGAGCAGTCAAAGACAGATTGCAGTGGGTGTAGGGATGAATTGAAAGAGGGAGACACTAAAGAAAGAAACATTTTGAAGGGGTATGGTGAGGCTGAGAGGAAATTTTAACACATTAGGGGTTCATTGAACTAGATGGATTTTGAAGTTTCTTCCAATTCTGTAAATAGTTCATTGCATTATTTTCCATTACTATTTTTATTTCCTTCCCTTAATATCAAGATTTTGTCCTGAGTATACTGCATCTTATTGCAGATATTATTGACTTAAGAATGCTAGGGAAAAATACAAGCCTCCAAGTTTATTTATGTTTTCTGATTTTTGAACCTTTCAAGTCAGATCAAACAGATGCCTGAGTTTAAACATTTATATTTGAAATGCAAATATACTATTATGTTAACTAGTCAATGTAACTGAAAAATTCCTAAACATATTTCAAATACTTGCATGTTATGCATTCAATTGTCAATAAAATTATGCTAAATATACCCCTGTAAAGATCATTTATTTTTTATTCTTTGGACATCTAATCTAATTAGGGCTGAAAAATAATATGCGGCTTTTCTAATCTCAGATCCAATTAATTCGCCCAGACTTTCTTTGTGTCATCTCTGTTTTGTTTCTCTTATTTTGCAGGAGCAATGGCCTTGGTTTTGCTTCCCTTTTGGAGGGCTACCACCACATAGGACCTGGATGTACTACTGCTTTTCAGGAACAGAAAGAAGACCCTTGATTTGTCTGTTTTGGTGTCAGTGTTGTAGTAAAACAACTGTTGAGTGGGCCTGGGTTTCAGCAGACCATCACGTGAATGGGACCAGTTTCTTTTCTTCCCAAATATCAGAAATTAAACACTTGGGAAAGAGATTTGGCCAAGATGACCCATTTACAGGCTGGACTCAGTCCAGAGACTATTGAGAAAGCTCGCCTGGAACTGAATGAAAACCCAGATGTTTTACATCAGGATATTCAGCAAGTCAGGGACATGATAATCACCAGGCCTGACATTGGATTTTTACGTACAGATGATGCCTTCATCCTGAGATTTCTCCGAGCCAGGAAGTTTCACCAAACAGATGCCTTTAGACTCCTGGCCCAGTACTTCCAGTACCGCCAGCTAAACTTGGACATGTTTAAAAACTTCAAGGCCGATGACCCTGGCATTAAGAGGGCTCTCATCGATGGGTTCCCCGGAGTGCTGGAAAACCGCGACCACTACGGCAGGAAGATTCTCCTGCTGTTTGCAGCCAATTGGGACCAGAGTAGGTAAATGTAGATAGTGTCTTAACTTGTTTTTTCTTTTTCATAAGCATGGCCACTGCACTTTGGGGTGGTATGGCTTTAGAGAGAGTGGGCTTTTGTTTATATATATATATATATATATATGCATATATACACACATACATACATATATATCTGTCTATATATCTATGTATACATATTCCACATACCCACAAAGGACTTTTTAAGGCCACAAGTTCACTATCATCTAAAGGTAATTCCAGATTCATGGCTGTTTTCTGGAACAACAGAATCATAGTTTTAGAATTGTAAGACACCTTAGATGTCATCAGTCTCTTCATCCAAGTGAGTCATTTATTTTTATAAAATTGAAAGCTGATCTTCTAGAAGAACCATATATTCTGTCTTTAGTGTTCTCATCTTTAACCACCACAACAAAGGTAAATTCAGGACACAGCTTTAAATCAAGTGTTTTCAAGACATAAAATAATTTCTTGGATCTTCTCCATGACTTTAAAATTCTATATTTCTTATGAGTGCTAGAACTTTCTTCCTGAAAATGCTATAAACAACCACCAACTCAACACATCCCTGACTGCATGTGTCATCTCCCCTGTGATACCTGCTCTTCCATACATCCAGTCTCCTGAGTCAGAAATCTGGGTGTCACCTTGGGCTGCTCCCTGACTTTGCTTCTCACACCCAAATTAATAGCCAAGTCCTACCCTTCTCTTAAAAAACTCTCAAATCTCTCTCTCTTTTTTTTTGCTTCCATTGCTGCTGCTCTAGTTTAGGTTCTTATCATTGGTCACTTGCATTACTGCAATGATTTTCTAACTGGTATTTCTGCTTTTGGTCTTGTGTCTTCTGAGCCATTCTTATCTACATGGTAGCCAGAGTGACACTTACAAAATTCTGTCATGTCACTCTCTTGATCAAAATTCTTCAAAGTAATAAATGGCCCCTTATGACTTACCTGCTATACCTCCTCTTCACCCTCTGCCCATCTTCTGTTTTCTGGTGTAGCTGGCTGGAGGTTTAAGCCTTATCTTGAATGGCTAAGGCTTTAACATACATCTAAACCTTTGGACTTGTCCCATCAGACACCTAAAAGAGAAACCAGCCACTTCTTGTCTCAATTCCAACCATCACGGACACAATTTGATTCATATCCATCTTTATGGTTTTTCAGGAAGGTAGTCTTAATCTCCCCCACCCCACCCCAACCCTTTATAGTTAAGTGCACTTACTCTGTTAGTATTGCTATTAAAGCATTTACAATGGAAATGTACAGACCACTATTTTCATAGCTAATGCTTTTGCATACTTACCACATACTAAGTCTTTATATATATTGTTTCACCCATCAAGAACTTTGCATAACAGGCATTATTGTTATCCCTATTTTACCCACTCAGTGCCTCACAAATAGTAAAATATGGAGTGGGAGTTGAACTCCAGTAGTCTGACTTGAGAGCAGGTTGTCTTAACCTGCCTTTACTAATTATATGTTTACTTGTGTGCTGTTTTTCCCCTCGTCCCAAGACTGCAAGTTCCTTGAGGAAAGGAGACTGTCTTTTTCATTTTTACCTCTTGACACATGGCACAATATCCTATATGTGTTGAGTGAGAAGGAATGTATGAGTCAGTCTCCAAAACTTCACCTGTGGCTTGAGCTCTTAGAAAGATGTCATCATTGACATTTTTCTGTTACTTGGGAAAGACACAGGTTTAAAGATAATAATAAAAGTAACTTTAAAAGCACACTAAAAGAACCCCTCCCCCAATATAATTAAAAGGAATTTCTAGGGTGCCTCCTCACTGCCTCATGGCACTATCCCTCCTCTTAAATATGTTGATAGTATGGGATAACTTCATGACTACTGGCTGTTTTCTGGTTAATTAATTGGGACAGGGCATTCTCACTCTGAACAGGGATTTGAATATTTTCACACTATGAGTCTAGAGTTTGGTCAGGTATGTATCTAAGCCTGGCCTGCCTTGCCATGTTTCTGCTCTGTTATTCCATAAGCATTAAGGATGAGCCTCTCATTGCAACACTGTATTGATGAGAAAGATCTCCAGGTCTTACAGTCACTTCCACAAGCAGTTATTGAGTATAGACTTGGCACCAGCGCTTGCATTAGGCACTGAGGACAATGATGAAAACCCAAATTTCCTGCCCCCAAAAAGCTCATGGTGCAACCCACTGTCCAGCAATGGTACAAACACATAAACTGCTAACTTCCACTTACCGTGGGAGAATGCCACTGAGACACAGATTGTCAACACAGGACATCAGCCTTAAACTAGAGGGAATGGCTATACTTTTGAGAATGGCACATTATCATTTGGCTTTGAGAATAGGAAATTTCTGGTGATTCTGGAGAATAGTCATGCTGACTTCATCTGTGTTTAATTGTAAGTGTTCTAGAATTTCCATCTGCTAAGCCAGATGATGCATACAATGCCAGTATGTAGTGACTTACACATAGAGAAATAAGTCATAGCAAAATATCTTATTTGTATTAGTGTTTGGCCTGTGTATATATCTCAGAATACTTTAAGAAGTATAATAATAACAAATAGTAATAGTAAGAGGAAGCAATATCTGAAGGAATAATCCAAATGTTTATGATTATGATAACCTTGGGTCAGTTACTTTGCTTCTTTACTCCTAAGTTTCCTCAACTGTAAAATAAGAAGCTTAAGCTAGGTAATTCCCAAGATTTTCAGCTCTAATGGCTCATGAATGTGAAGCTCATTTAGCTTGATGCTATGAATAGAAAGGTATTTAAAATTCACTTTATAGGCTCCTAATCCACTAGGCATTTTGAAGTAATTTCTTTCTTTTCCTTTCTCTCACCATTCCCATTCCCAAGGCTAGATCTACCTGAGTCAGTATTTTTCTAACTGTACAATATTATTTGTTCTAAATATTTTGGTTTTAATAAAAATGTGAATGGTAAGGTTGTGCCATAGACAGCCATTGATTATTAAAAGCTAACAAACTTCATTTAGCATGTAGATATACCATCATGTGATTTTCTGGTTATGTGACCTGGGACAAGGAATCTCTCTGAGGCTCCATTTTGTCATTCGTGAAGTGGGGGCGATAATGATGTTTACCTAATAATGTAATCGGAAAGACTGAATGAAACGATGCATTTAGGAACATAGCATGGTAAACACTTAATAAATATTAGCTTCTACTATTGTCATTAATATTATAAACATCCTACTACAAAAATAATAGGGCATGGGTGGTACTTATTAAAAACACAGGCAAGAGTACAATGTTTGAAAATGAAAGTGATCTGCCTGCACGCCTGTCCGAAGTATTTGTTTGTCTTCTTCCCCAGCATGTTCCCTGATATACTGATCCAGCCCAAATGGTGCCGAAAAGGCCTGATGACGTTGGCACAGCTTTGCCAAATGATGTCAACACTGTCGTTGGGAGCCTGTGATGATTGAGAAGTGATTTAAATGTCTCATACAAAAGGTTTACCGAGAGTAAAATGGTTAATAATATTTATTAAAACTATGCAAATCTCATTCATCCAGACCCAGAAACCATGAACAAAAGCACAGAATGGTGAGGGCTGGGAAGAGGGATCCTCCAGAGGCGCAGGCAGGGCTCCGTCTGCCCTGGGTGGGGTGTGCCAACAGAGATGCAGGAGTGCTCCGGATACCAAGCTGGCCTCCAGACACTGGGCCATGGCAGAGAACTGTGTGACTTCTCTGTGTTCTGAGGCTGCTGGGCTAAACTGAAATGAATTAGATTAAATCAGCACCCACATATTTATTCACAAATGAGGTTTTCAGAGTCAGCAGAGATTACATGTTTGATCACCAGCTTGGAATGTGCTATTACTCAACGAGCCCTCTGATCTTTCTCACCTAAATTCATATCAACATTGGCAAGAATTCACAATTTATGCCTTAATATCTGACATAAAATGAAATCAATTTCTTTCTGAGTTGCATTATGTGCACTTGGTCATGTAGCTTGATCTGCCCAGGAACAGTGTTCATGTGGAAAGAAAAAAGTGAGCATGCTTTTCATGAATTTCACTCAGTTAAAAAAAGAGGTAATTTTGGTCAAGTTATTTTACTTTATGGAGTCTCAATTTTAACAAGTGGAGATGGGTATAATACCTGGCATGTGGAGCTGTTGCAAGGATTAACCTGAATTGCCCTACTTGATGGCATCCAAGGGGCAGAATTGAAGAGTGATTAAAATCACTAACTCTGAAGCCAGATGGTAGGCTTCAAATCTCGGCTGCTTCCCAACCAGTCATGACATTCTGAGCAAGTTGCTTAAATTCTTACTACCCTCAGTTTCTCTCCTATAAAGTGGGATGGTGATGATCATAGGTTAATTAGCACTAGTCAATACTCATTAAATGTCAGGTATTTCTTAAAAAATATTCAAATCAGGCACATATGTATGATACTGGGTCACAAGATGTACTTTCTAAAAGTGGCAGGATTTGTTGCCATAACCAACTTTTTTCTACTTGGAAAAGTATGAAAAATGCAACTGAGGCTCCAAGCCACCACGTTCCAAAGTTCTCTATGGTACCTCAGTTGTATCTCTGAGAAATCACCTGGTCTTAAGGCCTCTACTTATTGTGCACATTATATTCTCAAAATATAAGAAAGGCATTAGAGGCTCAGATAATAAAAGCCCCAACAATAGACCACAATAGCATTAGTGCTATGTATAGACAGGCTGGTCTCCAACTACTTCAATGGGGAAAATACAATTAATAATGCATTAAAAATCACAATATTTAAATTATACTGGATGTTTTTGTCAGTGTATTGTTTGTTTATCCCAATTAAACGTTCAGAAATCAATAGCCAAGTGAAAAATTAGTCGAAAAGTTAGCTCTGTATGGAAGGTGAGGCACTCTTAGGAAGAGCTAAGTTAGAGTGACTTAACAGAGAGAAAAGGCTGATGAACAACTTGATTACTACAGTCAAGTATATGGCATTACTCTAAGAGTCAATTAATCCAA